CAACGGCGGATCTTGGGTAGCGGACTAAAGCTAACAAGGCTGGATACCAGGCTAGGAATGTTTGATTCTAAATCATTCTAAATAGATCATAAAAGTTCATCTGTTGATAGCTACATGTTTAAAGTTAAAGCTTTCGTTCCGACACAAGAGATTGCTTTCACCTAATGCAAAGCACACACATAAGAAACAGTCATGCCTTCCAATATCAGAGTTATCAACCAAGATTTGAGGTGTTATAAAACTCGTATTTCCCCAGAACTATCGTAGACTGGAACTCGTTGCCACCAAGCACAGTTCGGGCATCATCACTAGAAAGCTTTACACAACTCCTGCAATTAAATGTGCAAAGATTGAGTGTAACATGTCGTTTGGTGTGATATTAGAATAGCTAGCTGCCGCCGCGCCGCGTGCCTGCGAAGCTGGTGTGTTACGCCGGCTATACCGATACAGATACAGATACACACACACACACACACACACACACACACACACACACAAAAAAAAAAACAAAAAAAAAAACAATTACGATGTGGCGTGAAAAACAAACTCGAAAAGTTTGCCCACGGAAGTTAGTACATACTTCGCGCCAAATCTTTCACCTTTGACCCTAATTTGCATATAGAGGCGTGCTTGGCAACCAATCAATGTTCAGTCCTGTCAATGAACATCGTACACACTTTCCAAGTAGTTCAACTTATAAAATAAACATATACAAACTAGACTACAGGATAAGTTTTTAACACAGCATAAAATGGCTTTTCTTTGTTGCTTTTCTTTGACTTTTGTGACGAGTTTTCGATCTCATCTAAAATTTGGAACACCCTGGTGCTTGTACATTTCTACACAGGCTCATAATGAATGAATTTGAAAACTAGCTATGCTAATAAATTGCTATGAATATCTTCCATAAATTGAGTTGATGCCATTTTTTCTCGGTTTTGTGCCGAGATTTGTCCCAAACGCGTTCTGTTTTCGTCTCGGGTGCGTTGCGTGTGGCGGCGGTGGGCGTACCTAGCAACGGCCCTAGCAACGTGTTCAGTGTAACAAAAGGGGTGTGCTCATTGATTGAGATTGCAACATGGCTACGGACGGTGAGTACCCTTACCGCTTGTACAGCTGAGTTTTCAAGGACTATTCCAAAAATCGTTAACGCTTGTTGGGCCTTAAGACATACAACTTAAGATTTAGCAACTTCTCAAGCATTTCTAGCGGCGATTTGGTACAAATCTGAACATATATGAGAGAAATTTCGACTCAAAAGTCTAGTTCTGTGTATCGGAATGCACTGACCGGAAATGTATATGCTTTTCTTTATTTGTTTATCGCTAATATCTTCTTTTTTTCCAGTGCAAAATTCTCGGATAGATGTGCTTTCAAGACCTAAACCGATTCCACCAGGGCATATAGAAGACAGGTAAGGTATTTCTTTCAACAACTTTCGTGTTTTGCCACAATAACAATTTGTAACATTATGACAACACTAAGCGACCATTGTTATGTTTAACTGTACCCAAGCACAACGTTTGGGCTTAAAACTAATCTTTCTTTCTCAAAAACACGGTCGTTGGAGATTGTAGAATAGATAGTACGAGCAATAGATAAAGATAGGTGCCAGTTTTGTGTCGTGAACACACATCTACATTGTTCTTGATAACATTAACTGCTAAGAAACAATACAATGCAGCAATTAAGAACTCATTCATTCAACTTAGATGTCAGTATAGATTCTTTTTCATGCTGTTTAAAGATAGTGTTGGCTTAAACAATGTGATTATATGGCAGTCTTATCTCAAATAATAAAGGCTACGGCATTTTGAACTCAGGGAAAGGCATTAAAAATTAATACCAATACTTTAGCCTTATGTTGTAAAAGATCAAGGGTTTAGGGTTCGAATCCCATGAGATTTTGCTCACTTTGAAGTTTGCATTGCAGAGAGATTTTGAGGAAACTTTGTGAATTTCGGTGACTTCTTTGCTTCGCTTAAGTGGATGTCCTAAAATTGAGACGACAGCGTACCACCAATGTTCTATCCAATCACTTGGCAACCAATGACTCTAACTGTCGTTAACGCCCTTCAAGAGTTTGTACAGCGAGACAAAATTGCAGGGAATTTATGTTTTCCCACATGAAATAAAAACACCATCCCAACAAGACAGCTTTGTATAACACACAATGAGGTTGGACGCTTCCAAAAAAATTCACAAAAAAGCAAAGACACTAATGTTGAACTCTGGTTCGAACCCCGCAAAGAAACCTCAAGAGGTCTTTTTTTTAAGTTCTTCGAGGAGGCCAAAGTTTGTTTGCTAACTTTGCTCTCCCACTGTGCAAGAACATTCCCCTAAACTCATCAAGTACTTAAAGACCATTAGTCCATGTGACCTGAGTCCCTAAGAGTGTTGGAAAGGCAAAGAAAAGATTAACAAATCAAACTTGAGTTGACATCTGTCTATGATTTAAATTGATAAGAATGTTTGTAGATATTTTTTCTTGTGCAGTTTCCCATCTAGTTGCCATCTAGCCATTTTTCTGTTGCTGGAATAGAAACATACGATGTTGTGTCAACCTCTCAAAACCATTTTAAGATATTAAAATGGGGCTGTGTCAATCTGTTTTTTGATTGGACGATTGGTTGATTAGATCACCATGGAGATTATGATGTCAATCATTTACATAAACAATCATTCCCAGCATGAGTTACTAGTATGCTACCATGTACCAAATATGGTCATAGACTGATATAGCTTCAACCACCTGTTTGATTCAATCATATAGTTCACCAATCAAAAAACAAATCAGCTTAAATAGCTTTGAGAAACAATTTTATACAACTTCTTTTCCCAAAAAGTATTCTAAGTCAATTGTTCAGTTTCAGAATTCTAGAAAAAGTAGCCCAAAGAAAATTGAAAGCGTTAAAATATAAACATTTTTGAAAGTTGAAGTGTTGTTTCACAAGCTACTAAGTATTTTGTCAGGTGACAAATATCTTTTGAGGTGTATTCTTACAATTTTAATCTTTTAACTTGAGTCTGAATTGCTAAAAAAGACTGATTTTTTGAATAAAGGAAAATCTACAAGTTACCAAATGCCGGGTCAAAGGACTTTAAAGATCTAGTCTTGTAGTGCAGTTAGCCAAGAGAGAAGCTCTCTACATTTCTGTCACGGCTATTTGTCAGAAAGGAAGTACCATAAAAACGTCACGTTGAAAGGAAAAAGGCCGGATAAACACACCTGACGTGTGAACAAACACGCGGAACAATGCAAACTCGGGAGGCGATGTGCTTTCGGTCGACAGTTATTTGGCGAAACAGATTCTAACGCATTCTGCCGACAGAGTCGGCAAGGCTGTATTGTGTATTGGCACCAACACACGCCCTGTTTTTAATCATTGGCTTCCAAAAAACCCATTTCAAACACGATCCATCCACACCTATGGTTAATTTGATTACTTGTTTAAAACGGGAGGGGGGTTAGAGAATTGCAATCAAATTGGAAATTGAATAAGATGACGGCAATAGCTGTCTTGTATGTCATGTGGTATTTGGCAAAACAGATTCTAACGCATTCTGCCGACAGAGTTGGCAAGGCTGTATTGTGTATTGGCACCAACACGCCCTGTTTTTAATCATCATCTTCCACCAAAACCCATTTTAAACACGATCTATCCACACCTCTGGTTAATTTGATTACTTGTTTAAATAGGGAGGGGGGGTTAGAGAATTGCAATCAAATTGGAAATTGAATAGGATGACGGCAATAGCTGTCTTGTATGTCATTTGGTATTTGGCAAAACAGGCCAGGGAGTGAGTTGTAATGTTTCGGGCTGTCTTTATAAAAAGGTTTTGCTGAATGTAGGTGTTGATGGGATGACGTTCTAGAATGTTTTCTTTTCGCTGTTGTTATGGAGATGATTGTAAACAGTTGTAGGTCAGAATCAAAGATGAAGCTTCACTTGTAAGTTGCGATTGTTCATGAAACAAAGTTAGACACATATATGGTATATTTATCATAGTTTTATGCGAAAATTATGAGATTGTGTTGGTAAAATGTCCTCTTGTCTAATTGAGTGATCAACCAATTTTCTTCTTGTAAGGTCTCTGATTATTTCTTTCCTAACTTCATTCTTTCCTTCTCTCTATCCTGCAGGCGATCTGTGTACTGGATTGACCGCCCCCCACCCACCGTCGGGCCTGATGGAATCACAAAATGTCGTAAGTATTATGGACTACCACAACATATTTCGTAGTATTATGGACTATTGCTTGATACTGAACTTGGTTCAGGACATTTATCTTTTTTAAATCATTTCATGCAGCTTCAACCTTACACAAGTAATACGTATTTGCTCAAAGGATGCCGACTTTTTAAAAAATCATATTTTTGACTCGTGCAGTCCACTTTGTAATTGTATATAAAGATGTTTAAAACAAGTTTGAAATTGAAATGAACATTTGAATCATAAAACTTGTACATCTTTTACAAGCTACATTTTCTATATCTGCCATTATATTTACAGAGACAGTTTTGCCATTGCCTCAGTTAAATAATTAGCACCCCTTCCAAATGTTTCTTCTTTGTCACCATGGTTACAGGTTAGGTAGAAGGTTCAACACAAAGGTTATTTCTCCTAACTCTGCGCAGGAGAGAGTTTTTGTCACAGCTGAATGAAAAGCTCCTTGTTTTGGAAACATCCCAGTTCTCAGTTTTGTTGTTTCGCTCACAGTTCAGCTTACATTTGTCCAGCCAACCACACAACCCAAAACAGACGGACAGACATTTTGAACTGAAACAGTTCGTTAGTTTCTTTAAAGGCATCCAATGCGATTTTAAAGCAGAAAGACTGGAAATATTCTGAATAAGGCAATCTTTGTGATATTGACACATACTGCTTGGCACATCTCAATCAGTATTTCATACTTTGGGTATTTAAAACTGCAGAAACAAGCCCCAAGATGAGTCCTTTGTTTTATGGGTAAAAATCAGCCAAGGGCCTTCCCAGTAACCATTTCCTGTCAGAATTTTGGGTATTTTTGCTCTGTGGGGCTAAATATATATTGGGATAGGGCAGTTTCATCTCACTACAATGTATGTAGATAAGTGACTAGAATATTGACTTTGAAAAATCTGGTTTCCAAGCCCTAAAAACTGCCCTGGATGCCTTTAACTGCAATTAGAACTGGAAGAAAAAATCTGCTTCTTTTTTGGATCTAACAGTTTTCAAAAGTTCTTTTCAGTGCGTTTCACATAATTTTGCAGTCAGAGAAAGACGCAAAGAACCAAAAACGTTTAGGCAAAGAAAATATAAAAAGATTTTTCTGATGTAAAGTTTCTTAAAAAATCAAGTGAAGAGCAAAAATTTGTACCTTAGTTGCCAAACCAAAGATTGGGTAAAAATGATATGAAACTCGCAGCATGAAATATAAACCTATTGACAAAGAGTCATTTGTTTTAGGTGTTGGCACTGTGAACGGATATCCTATTTCTTAATGAGACGGTGATACAATTGGTTTGAAAGGTGCCTTTATTTGATGACTGGTAACCCAAGATGGTTTTATGCAGTAAAGCTGTGTTTATAGACGCATCTAAGATAGCAACACGGTCTAACGCTTGATAACTGGTGGCCCATATCCGACCTGTTTGTTGGATTTAGGGCAATTAAAAGCACCCAGTTTTTAGCGTTAGGCCACAACGACGTAATTTTATAGATGACATCCGCGCGTGCATTGATTTTCGCCTGTCCTCAAAAAAAAAAAAAAGATCACGTCCACCGAAGCTCTGGCCTGGCTCTAGGCATGGGTAGTCCATGGTAGTTAGCGACAATGCGGACCCGAACACCCAGGCTATCGAATTCGAAGCTCCACGACTCAAGCACTCAGTACATACGTACAGAACCGATTCATAAATTCCGCAAAAAGCCAGCATGTGCCTGCTTGTCGTATACGTCGCTAAGTACTGCCACGAATTCACAATACCAGCTTTGTATTCCTGTGGTTTTATTTTTGGTCGATTTTTTTTTTTATTTGCCCACGTGCACTAGTTTGGGGATCAGAGGATGTCATCCATAAAATTAAGGCAGTGTGGCCTTACCGTAGTAAAACTGGATTCTCAAAGTCAATTTTTTTGTCATTTTTAAACGTTGTATCCAGTTGAATCAACCCATATATATATATATATATACTGACATGCGAGGCAAAAATATGATGTCGCTGATGTAAAATGATTGCTTGTTTACCTTCCAACAGAAAAGCTGCCCCCTTTTTTTGAGGAATGTAAACAAAAGAGCCGAAAACAAAAGGGCTTCAAAACAACTTAGATGCTACATATTTCACTTTTTAAGAATTTTTCTGACCAAATAATGTGATATTTTTTATTAATAACTTGAAAGGTTGTTCATTAAAATTTTCAAATGTTTTCTTGGGGTTACATTTTTTTTTCTAAAAATAGTGAGATCACATTTTTCTCATGAATTTGTTCAAAGCTTGCTCTTGGTTATATGATTCATACAATTTATAACTTTATACAAGTCCTGCAGTACTCAAAAATGTCAGTAGATGGTGTTTTTGTTGATACTTTCCATCTTTTAAAACACACAAATTTGATACTACAAATAACATCCTTTGAGCTCCTTCATTTGATGATGAATTAGGATAAGAGAAATTTGTTTTGCAAATTTATCATAATATATTAAAAATCAATGCAGGTGCACATACAGGCCCAAACAAGACCAGACAGAAGATATTGACAGATGTTGATTGTTTTTGTTGTTGTTTATGTTTACTGCAGGTATGAACAAACATCAACTGTCGCTGGTGAAGGTGAAAGAACTGCACCCAGAGTACCAGGGAGACAGGTAAGGAGAATAACAGGAATGATGAGGGTGGGGAACGAAAAAAAGTCAAGATTTACAGAAGAAAATTAAAAATTAAGAGGAAAATGTGAACAAAAAGAAAAAAAAATATTGAGCATTTTGGGTTTTAGTCTTTCTCCCCTGCCCTTCAGCAAACATATATTATTCATTACGAATTAACATTAGAATTTAACATTACTCAACGCCAAGGGACACTGTGGCTCGGCTCCCCCTAGTGATCATAGTAAGAACTGCCCAAAAGATATGTCTGGATTTTCAACTACAAGACCAAGTGGCATATTGAGATGTCGTAAATGCTCACGTACTATGAAATATATCAAGCAACAATGGATAATTCTCTGAATAGTTATTAATCAATCAAAGGCTTTTGAATTAATTTTAATTCAGGTGCTTGTTCTTATGATTTTGTATATAAATGTTCTATTTGAATGTCTAACCTTTATTGACGACTTTATGTTCATGTGTTTTGGTTTTTTTTCCAGGCCGACCTCAATTTGGGCCGTGAGTCTGGGAGCGCTGAATGCCAAACACCGTCCTCGGCTTGACGTGCTGGCCCGACCGAAGGCCCTCCCACCAGACTACCAGCCCAAGAGACCCGTGTACAGCATCGTACCGGAGAGTGCCAAACGGTTCGAGGCCACGCAGCGACTCGAGCAACTCTGCCTGCCAAAAATGTCCCGCGAGCTGAAGATCAAAGGCGACACGGAGTGGGATTGGGGCGAGTGGATCAGCGAGATTTCGCCCGCCGCGAAGAAAGCCACCGCCACGCCGCGGGTCGAAACACTGGCAGAAGCGAAGAGGTGGCACCCAGAGTTTCTCGCAAACCGTACGGTACAGTGGGCCGTCTCGGATAACGCAAAAACGTCCATCGCGTCCATCCGATTGCAGCAGCTTTCGCGACCGAAGAGTCGGGGCGGGAACGACGACTACGATCCTTACAAAGTTCCGAGGGCCGCGCTGCTCGCGCAAGCTTCCGCCAGAATCAGCGAGCTTTCCACGCCGATCGCGAGAAAAGTTCGCCAAAAGAAGGTCGTGTAAAGATCTGAGGAACCAACCACTTTTATCTGGGGGTGGGGTGATCTGTACTTTACCAACAGTATTTTTGTGGTATTTTTTTCCACTTTTCTGAGGGATCACCATTAATTTCACCCCACTCCCCTAATAATATGTGGTATGTTCCGAAGTCAAACAATGCTGCTATGAGGTTGAAAGAGGAATTTTCTATGCACCTTTATATTCGTCAATTTCTACTTTGACGAAAAAACTCTCAATACAACTTTGTCTCTTGTTGCCACAGAGATTATGTTCAGCTGAGATCAGTACGTACAATTTTTAGTCACCGTTCAGAAAGAAGTGATTTGCATTGGTTTCTTGGTGAGGGGTAGGAAAACTACTTACCCCACTTTGAATTTTAGCATCAATTTTGAGCGACCAATAATCTGTATCAAACATTTGGTGTTTCTATGATTAACAACATTAGACAAGGTCTTTGTAGCCTTTTCTTGTAACAAATCATGTGTCTTAAATTTTATATTCTATAGCAGTAAGGAATTTCAAACGTGAATAATTGTAGCCAGTTGTTTTCTTGATGATTTTATATCAATCATTTGTTTTATGTGAGGTTGAGCCATGACAATTTTAGAGAGGGGAGAGTTTTCACAGCGAGAGGGACAGGAAAACTAGCGTGGGTAACGTCTGATTATTTTACGCTTGTTTCAATACTTCACAGGGTGAACTTACGTGTGAAAATGAGCGTAAAGTACAGAATTATAACCTGGCTGCAAGTGCACTTTTGCGCGAGAAATCGTCCAAAAATATGACAAACGTCTGAAACAAGATTGAACTGCAATTGCCAACACAAAAACAAATTGGACTAACCCAAATTTTCGACTGTACAACTCCAGTTTGTCGAGGAATGAGCAATCCACCGCATTTTTGCCCGTTTAACAATCAAATTCAATTCACACGAAAAAATGATATATTGTTACTATATATCTAACCAGCATGCCCTTACTAAAAGATTATCATTGATAAATTATTATGATAAATATCATAATCTTCTCAAAGCCTTTTGGGTGACTGGTGAATATTATGTTTATCGTGGTTCTAAAATTGGCCAGACAAATCTTATAAAATAAGTTTTTCCTGTCTTTCGAAGGTGTGGATGTATAGTTGGGATCCAAGCAATAATATAATTTGACATAATTTTCATTTTCTTTTCTTCATTCAGTTGACTCCTTTTGATAATTAGTGCATGTTTGTATTTATTGTTATTGTTCAGATGAAATCTTTTGTTCAGTCATTACATATTGTTTTAGTTGTAAACCAATTTTTGTATAAAATTGTGAATATTTTTGGTGATTAACCTTCTCCCTGCTGCCTAACCAATACCAATTTGGTGCCAAACGGCTACCTTAGCAGGCCGAAGGTTAATGCAACGAAAGAAATCACCCCAATTTTCATCATAATTCCAGTTCCAACATTTTGATAACTTACATCAAATTTGATCGACCTTTTCCAGGAAAAATTTTTTGAATCATTGGATTTGAAATTGGCTATGAGTTTGAACCAAAAAAGCCATACAGATCCAATTTGTGTATGCAACTTGACCGATTCAGCATTACATTTTGTTTGGACACAGTTTGAAATTTTGAGTCGTGTTCTTTTCTACCTGCTGTGAAGTATTGTACTACTGCAAATGCTAGCTTCAAGTAATGACTGTTACTTGTACATTTTAAGCTGCTGCTATATTTTAGCCTTTATTTGTACAAATTAAGTTTCAAAAACATTTTTATATAGATTCATGACAAATAACTACAGAATACAGTCAGAATTGTACTTTTGAGGGATATTGTAACAGAATAGTCTTTCGTGTTCAATGAATTATATCAACATTGTAACATATGTATTAATATTTTACACATTTGTAACAAACTATTAAGATGGTGAAAGAATTGACAATTAATATACAGTATGATTTTTATGGGTTTGAGTATGGTGGCCAGTTTGGTTAGTTAACTGCACATTTGTGTGATCTTTTGAAACAAATTCTTTGGAATAGACTTAACACACATTAACTTTACTGGTTGATTATTCCGTTATAAATATAGTTATACATATCTCTGTATTATATAGACACAGGACACTATATGCATGTGTATGAGCTCAATATCTTGAGCATTTTTGTTGCAGTTTGCGAGCACAAAATATGGTGTTAATAAAACATTTTAAAAAACATCTGTGTTTAATGTTAATTATTTAAGGGTACAAAAGGATTGTTTTGGGTGGCTGAGCTGTGGGTTTGCGTGTCTGTTTGCTGTAGGTTGACAGCACATGGGAGGGGAAGATTGACAGGCAGAATGACAGGTCATGCATCACATTTGTTAATTATGTGAACAAGACTGGCGATGAAAACATACATTGCCATGGCGACGGTGGTTGCTGTTAGGGTTTTTGTTAGCATGGCACTGCCATGATTTCATGATTTTGAGGAAGACTTGGTACCTGTTAAGTCTAGACAGATACAGTGCACTCCTCCCCTGAGTGTATAGTGAACGAGCCCCAGGGTCACAGAAAGTAGGGCCATCCGGGGCAGACAGGTCTTCCCAAGGGTTTCCAGGAATGTGGGCATAGATGTGGGTCAGAGAAATGCCTGTGGACATTCCATTCCTGTGGACAAAATGCCTGTACCATTCCTAGAATTCTTGCAAACTGCACACAATACTGTACCATTAGGCTCCACCCCTGAGACGTCGCCAAAAACTACCAAGAAAAGCCAGTTTTAAGGGAAATATTTTCCTTTAATTGTAACACAGGAGAATTTACAGCATGAAAGGTCAACGACCCCTAGCAAACGGCTCGTACAGCGAACGTTCCCGCCAATCAAACGTGATATGCAAGTTTGAAACAGAGCAACCGTTTCCAGACCTAAATACTAACCAAAGTATACAATTTACAGGGCATTTCATACATCTTAACTAGATTTTGTCCTATGCATTATTTTTTGTATCTTACGTATCTTTTACACCAGTATTGTACATTATGCAACTTATGTATATCGGCTATCAGAAATGATGGTGGGGGGGATCTGAAAATTTTTAGAATTTTGTAAGAATTTTTCTCCGGAAATTTCTTACCACACCCGCACAATCTTTCCTGGTGAGCCCTCGACTTATTTAAGAAATGATATGTAACAAAATTTTGATAACTTCGAGGATCAAACCATTGCAGACAAACCACTACTGCAATGCACTTATTTAACCTTAAGCAACCGATTCTCTATTGGCTACAGGGTTAGGTAGATGAAGAATGGTTCAAATTCACGAATCATTTACAAACCATAGTAGTTACAAAGCAGTGATACTCATAATTGCCAAAACTTCTCTTTTTTCAACTTAATGCAGAAATTACGTGTCCACACTGTCAAGTGTGAAATTCACATAATTACTACCATAAAGTGGCTGACTTAAATTCATTTGCATTTGGCACCTCTTGCCCTAAACTTCTCGTGCTTTCTTCAAAGCCCTCCTTTCTTCTCAAAGTCTCTTAACTACCAAAACATTTTAACTGACTAGACTCAAAAGTCTGCTCTCTTGGATCATTTCAATGAATTGATGAAGTCTGTTTTGCTGAGCCAACAATCTGTAGTAGTATGTGTCAATCAAGGAGTCTTGTTTTCTGGTTGGCTGATTCTGTGACCAATCAGAAGAAGCAGTCACATCTAAAAAGACCTCTGATTGGCTGACTCACAGGCCAATCAGAAGAAGCTGTCACAGTTATCTGAATCTCTGATTGGTCTGTTCATCTTGAGTAAAACCTAATTAAAGTTCACATATTTTATGCCATCTTTCAACAAAATATGGAACTTTGACTTAAACAATCATGCTTTTCAGAAAATCACCAATAAAGATCAGATGTCATAGACATAATCTGATGACATCATCTCTCAAAGTGATGACATCACCGCACCTAGTGATGACATCACGATTATAAACATGCTCCACAGATGTGGTGGTGACGTCAAAAAATGTTGTCATACAATTCACATCCTGCCAAAATCTACTTTAGTTATGCAACATAACTGGAGAAATGGACAATCAGGATAAAATTATCATTTCTGAATAATTTCTAGTGTAGCATGGTATGTCGTAATTTCACTTTAAAGTTGTAAATCATAGAGAGGGGAACCTTATACTGCTGGCATACAAGTTTGTGGCATCAAACTAACAAAAATGTCCTTCTCAATGTTTTGCCTAGGCAGAATTTTATGCTGCAGATTAAAAGTATGAAGCAATCAAATCTTGTGTTCATGAGTTCCGGGTTCTTTCTTGTATTCTTTTTTTTTTTTGCAGTTGTAGAAGTTGGTTGTAGAAAACGGCAGGTCTAGGTGTCAGACGGAGGCTAGCGTTGTGTTGGGTGGCACCAGTGTGTTGTCTGTCATGGAGTACGGGTTGAGAAGGAGCGACAGGAACTCGTGAACCGGCGCCGTCTGTCGTGGTAGGTCGTCTCTCTGAGAAACAAACGTGGGTATGAGACCTTCAACTGATAACGATCAGGAAAATCGTCTGAGAAACAAACGTAGGTGTGAGACCTCTCTGAGAAACAAACGTAGGTGTGAGACCTCTCTGAGAAACAAACGTAGGTGTGAGACATCTCTGAGAAACAAACGTAGGTGTGAGACATTTCTGGGAAACAAATGTAGGTGTGAGACATCTCTGAGAAACAAACGTAGGTGTGAGACCTCTCTGAGAAACAAACGTAGGTGTGAGACATCTCTGAGAAACAAACGTAGGTGTGAGACATTTCTGGGAAACAAATGTAGGTGTGAGACATCTCTGAGAAACAAACGTAGGTGTGAGTGACATCTCTGAGAAACAAACGTAGGTGTGAGACATCTCTGAGAAACAAACGTAGGTGTGAGACATCTCTGGGAAACAAACATAGGTGTGAGACATCTCTGAGAAACAAATGTAGGTGTGAGACATCTCTGGGAAACAAACGTAGGTGTGAGACATCTGAGAAACAAACGTAGGTGTGAGACATCTCTGAGAAACAAACGTAGGTGTGCGACATCTCTGAGAAACAAATGTAGGTGTGAGACATCTCTGAGAAACAAACATAGGTGTGAGACATCTCTGAGAAACAAACGTAGGTGTGAGACATCTGAGAAACAAACGTAGGTGTGAGACATCTCTGAGAAACAAACGTAGGTGTAAGACATCTCTGAGAAACAAACGTAGGTGTGAGACATCTGAGAAACAAACGTAGGTGTGAGACATCTGAGAACCATGCAGGTAGAAACAAGGCCTACGTCAGTAGTGAGAAGGTTAAACAGGAACCTTACCTCCAATCTAAGCCACGTGATGCTCCAGTGAAGGAAGAGCACGCCTGCGATGAAACTGGCACAGAAGCGGATAAAGAAATGGCGTAGTACTGCTCTATCCGGAGGTCTGCAACACAACACAAGACGACTTACTTTAAAAAGTGGCCTCATGCAACTTCAACCTGACCAAACTGACATCTAGATGGAGCATATCTAATACACAACAGATCTTTCAGGGTAGTTAACACTGTCAGTCTGTAACACAAACACACTGTCCTGTCTCTGGGACCCATGGGGGACCAGCTATTTCCCTATTTCCCTATCACAAATAAGCATATAATTAGTGTAACTCTATACAGGTACAGTACCAATACTTAGGGATTAGGTATCCCGACGGCGGTAGCGGACATTCCCAACTATATCCAAGATGGCGGCCAACTTGTGCCGACTAGCTATTTTACTACTTTTCTGTCGCGCTGTGGAATATTTAGGCTGATCTAAACATCGGCAACCCGGCCAATTGTGGAGTTATATTGTAGGGAAGTTCGGGACAGCAAAAAAACGGGTCAAAAACGGAGCATCGTGCAGCCAACGGGAAATGTGCAGTTCTGCCAATGGATCTTTCCACGACTCTTGTCTGAGGGTAATGCAATGTAAGCCCGAATCAAGAGTCGCCACGGCTATTATGTTGTTTGATCTCCATTTTTTTAGCCTGGAAATCTATTGTCCAAAATAGCTCCGATTTTCGATGAACCCCACGTAAAATTTGCATAAAACGTTAGTTAACAGAATAACGGGAGACAAAAATGTCTGTATGATCCATATGGACCAACTATTTCACGACTAAGTTTCCAGAACATTCCAGGACAAAATCTTCAACACCAAGTTCGAGCCAAGATTCGCAGATTTTCCGAGCGAATTTTGGACGATACAGGCAAACTGACACTATCTGGATTCACTGGGATTGTCCTTGTACTGTTACGACTTACCCGTCTAATTTTTCTTCTTGTTTTTCTTGTGTTTCTTCGGGTATTTCTTCGTTTTCTTCCTCTTCTGAGACATCGCTTTCTCTCTCCTCCTCCGCCATGATGGAATGGACGAGTTCATCGTTGCTAGGGGAGTTCAGCTAGCAAATATAAAAGATGGTTTTAGAAATTCTTTCTTCAGCGAGAAAACAACCAGTTTTATTCCTTTTTTGTATATTAGTGTATTTAAAATTATTACATACAGGGCTATTATTGTGTAATAATCTGTACATTTTGCGTAAATAATTGTTTAGAAAAAAGTCTCTCCTAAAAAATGATAAAAATAGAACCATCTGATGGGTTGGGCTACTGGCTACCGAACTGCAGGTCATTGACCTATGACAGCATCAGCACACAAATAAAGAGTATCTAAAAATAGCTAACCAACAACATAAACATAATAAATCACTAAACTGATACATGCATATACGTACAACATTATAACATTCTACACATTTTATTAAGTAATTTAAAAGATTTGTGAAAATTTCAGTCTATGGTTTCTTGTAGTTTTGTTTGACATTTAGATGCTTTCAGGGCTAGGGTATACAGAAAAGTCAAAAGATGGAAATGGCGACCCCTCCCCCTCAGACTAGCTTCAATGATTCGAATTCTACTCACAAAAATAACCAAAATGGCATCGTGCAATCGCTCCTCACAGACTTGTATCAAGTCACCATGGCCTACGCCTACTGGAAAAGCGAGAAGAGACACGAAATCGCGGTTTTCGACCTGTTTTTCCGGAAGAATCCGTTCAAGGGAGAGTTCACTCTTTTTGCAGGTTTGGAGGAATGTCTGAAGTATCTTCAAAACTTCAAGTTCTCCGAATCGGGTAAGATTGTTTTCTAAGATGTCTGATTTTCTTACAAACGTACTCTGTAAAATTACACTTCTGTATTGTTGTCATCTGACACAATAGCTTGCATGGTAACCGATAAGTATGATTAATTACCTTGTCAATACATTTATGAATTATAAAGATAATTATTGCATATTTTGATAGATTGTGAAATATGATGCAGCTTACTAGGTTTTGTAATGATTTCCCAAACATCAATTGCAAAAACATGAGCTACAGACTTTTAAGATTAGATATTATTTAACTTGCAAATGTTTACCTGCATTTTGTTAGCAATAAATTATCACCCAAAATTTGTCATTATAAGATTCTTAGGTTATTTTGAACATGATCTTAATCAAATTTGCTCCTCATGCTTGCATGCGCACATTTGAACACGTTATTGTTGTCCTTGTTTAATGTCTAATCTCGCTGCTAGACGTGGTCTCTTGATGCTGGTTTGCACTTGGTTCAGTTTAGAGTCAATTGTCTCTCGAGGTATTTAACTCTTTGTGCTTTGATCACATTGAAGTTGATAATTGACTTCCCCTAAAAACTGAAATTGTGCTGTAAGTAGGTTTGTGGATCCAAATTAGTCCAAATGGGATTCAAACCCAGCACCTTTGGAATCTGCATTAACAATTGCAACCTAACCACAAGAAAGTGAAAGTGATCTCGAACCAGTTTAGCTCATTGAAGAGCTAATCTCCCACTGGTTGTGACAGAGAAGACAGACGCTATGTACAGTATTTACAGGTTCATTGTACCAGGGAAATTCCCCTAGCTCTTTTCTAAAAGCACAATGAACAGAGGACCACAGCTTAACGTCCCATCCTAAGGACTGCGACCCTAAACAGTCGGATGAGCGACATCAGCCGGGATTCGAACTCCCAACCTCTTAGTCCAGAGGCAGCTAACCACTGGACTACGCATGCTACTTTGCTACCACATTTTTCATGCAGACTAAGTTTTTAATAGATGTTTTTATTAATTGTCCCTTCAATCCAGATATCAACTACCTGCGGACCATCCTCCCCCCGTCAGTAGAGGAGGAGTTTTACGACTACCTCGGGTCGCTGGACGCTTCAGAGGTGAACCTGTACGCGGTACCGGAGGGTACCGTGGTGTTCCCCCGCGTACCGCTGGTCACGGTCGAGGGCCCGCTGCCTGTCGTACAGCTGATGGAGACCACGCTTCTTAACCTGATCAACTATGCAAGGTGAATATACCCTGGGTAGCATGAGAGAAGTTGTCTGTTTTTGACAACTGCTCAGGGGGGAGGCATCTACTAACTACTTAGATCTACATAGCATCAGATCTACATAGCTTCGCAACTTGATCAACTTCCATTATGCTAGGTGAACAGAAAGGCAGTAGAAACTTGGCCTTTGGAAGTGCGTAGTATCGGGATTACAGATTTGTAGATCGCAGCTAATAGAGACAATGCTTTGCAATGTTATCAACTATGCAAGGTAAACAAGGAGACAGTAGAAACTTGGCATTAGAAAAATGGGCTATTTTTGGCTACACCACAGGGGCAAGGCTTTCATATGTACGTAGTATCAAGATTCACAGTGAGAGTGCAGATTTTTGATAATAGAGACAATGCTTTGCGACTTAATCAACTATGCAAGGTGAATACATGGCATTGGTAGGAAAGTGGCCTTTTTGGCTACACCACAGGGGCAAGGCCTTTAGATATCTAGATGTACATAGTATCACAATTCACACACAGCAAGAGTGCAGATATTTTTATTAGATCCCAGCTAATACAGACAAGGGTATTCACCATTTTTCTGTTACCTTTCTTTTTTTTCCAGTCTTGTAGCGACCAATGCGGCCAGATTTCGGATGGCAGCCGGCAAGAAGCAGCTTCTGGAGTTTGGTTTGAGGCGTGCCCAGGGGCCGGACGGGGCTCTGTCAGCCTCCAGATACTGTTACATCGGGGGTAAGTCATTTATGATGCGAAATTCGTCTTTTAGTGTAAAAGTTTGAAACATTAAACCATTGAATTTTAGGTGTAGTAGACTGATCCTGACTGTCCATCACAATTAGCCATTCAACCAATGAGAGAATGGCAATTACTGGTTTGACCAATGAGAGAATGGCTGCATGACCATTTGCATATCTACTAAGATCAATCTATTTGACTTTTGCTGACATTAAAGTTTTTTGACTGTTGGCATCGTGAACAGGTTTTGACGGCACCAGCAACGTTCTGGCGGGAAAGATGTTCGACATTCCAGTGCGGGGAACCCACGCGCACGCCTTCGTCACCTCCTACGTCGGGCTACAGGACCTGAAAAACAGGGTACGTCTCTCGTCTTTGCCTGTTGAGTGTACGTCTGCTGTCAATGCGTCAAAATCATAGGCTAGGCCCATGCTTGTAATAGTGTAAGAGCTGCAGTTTAGTATTATTCTGCTAGAGGGCCCAGATGATCAGGTTCAAGGACATGTGTTACCAAGATTTAGAAAAAGATAGGAGGGAAATATTTTGCATTTGCTTGCAAATGTTAGCATTTTAGGTATTTTTTTTTTACATCATGAAACATTGAAGACAGAGATTTCATCACAGAACTACAACATGTAGAAGGCACACAACCTTGTTTTATGATCAAGACATTTTGCGATCATTTCAGACGCTGGCGCCGTTAGATGGAGGCCCTCCCGTGGATTTCGTCTCCGCCTGTCTCGACTTGCGAGAAGAGGTGTGCAAGACACTGGACGTTCTCCACGAAGAGACGAAGCAGAGCGAACTCACGGCGTTCATCGCGTACGCCACGGCTTTTCCTAAGGGATTTCTGGCCTTGGTGGACACATATGATGTCCTTAGGTACATGTATACAGTTCTTCGATTATCATGAAAGTTCATCTGTGTTGGTAGTAAAATCATAGTAAAACGTTAAACTTTATTCCAACACACAATTTACAGAGATCAAATTTTCAGCGACCACTGTCGCCTTCATCAGGATAATTAATGACCAATCACTTCACTATGTGATCTCGCGAGAGTTACGGTTTACAAACACGTGACCTTATTCACACGAGACTTCACTGATACGTGACGTAAGCAATTGATCAAAAGTGCCAGGGAGTTTATATCATCCACCATCTTGTTTTAGAATATCAGGAATCATTTTAATAATTACGATGATAGTATTACCATGTTGGAAAACATAAATAGAACATACTTTTATGCTCCTGTATTATTGTCTAAAACGTAATGCGTTCTCAGTCCGTCATAACACATACAGTTACATGAAATTTCTGTAATCTTACAAATTGTGAAATCATATCTGCATAATGTACAATGAGTCATTGGCAGCATGTGTTTATTGTTAGCTTGTGTGTCCATACATTAGTTATTTGAACATAAGAGTCATGGGAAGTAAGGGGGAAATTATATAACCACAGACTGACAGGAAGTTTGAATGGGAGGTCAAAATGGTCGGGTTGGAACTAACAGTTAATACCGTAGTGGAATATGCACAGAATCACCATTTTTCACCATTTTGAATAAAACAAGAAATTTACTAGATATACATACTTCCTAGAGGTCTGAAACACTTTTTTTGTTTTGTTTTTTTAGGAGTGGCATACCTAATTTCTGCACAGTAGCCCTTGCCCTTCACCAACTGGGCTACAAGGCTATTGGCATTAGACTGGACAGTGGTGACCTGGCCTACCTCTCCAAGGCAGTCAGACACCACTTCAGAAAAATCGCTGACCGGTAAGTTTTAGAAACTTTTAGAGTCAAAACCTAGAATGGCAACTTTTGTAATTATTCTTTTTCTCAATAATAGTTTCTATTTTGTATTTGGAGAAAACCAGGTTTTTAACAAATAGCCTGCAATACTGCCTCCGGTAGATAGATGGCACTGCTGGATAATGGAAGGACTATACCAATTTTATGTTTGTTTATTAGCATTACACAAGGGACAGGGATAATGTGACATACACTCAAGTTATAACTTATTTGTGACAATTCTAAACACACTTTAAAGGTATTCAAAGCTAGGAAATATTTGCTGCATTGTAGAAAGAGATATCTTGCATTTGCTTGCAAATGTTGGCTTCCAGGAGTGTTGTACAGTTGCTCTAAAATCATGTTGTTATTTCCTAGGTTTGAGGTCCCTTCCATGGCAGACTTCATCATTGTAGCCAGCAATGACATTAATGAGGACACTCTGCACTCACTTAACCAGCAGGTTAGTGGTTAACCCATCAACCAAACTCATTAACTCCTCAGGTCATGTAGGATATCATGCCATTATGTATGTTTTAAGGTATACATTTTAAAAAGAATGTTTTACATTTTCAAAGCAAAAAAAATACAATATTGTTACTTATACAGAATCAATTGTTCAGTTGTATCAGATATAACAATAAATTAAGAAAAACTCTGGATACTTTCTGGAGGTTTGAAATATGTATGTTTACCTTCGCAGAAGGAAAAATATTGTTTTTGCTCTGTTTCTTCTTCCTCTTCTTCTAACAAATAAGGTTAATGACCTGAACCAGATGTCTGTCACCATGGTAACTAGTGTTGGGTTACATCATGTTGCAGGTTTCTAGCAGGAGGGATTTAGACTCCTGTCTGACCATATATATTATGAATGTGTTTGAGTAAGAATTAACAGAGCAGACCATATGTGAAGGTAAACATTATGCAGTGGCTTTGCAAATGTTACCTTTCTAGTGTTTATTGTTTTCAGGGCCATGAGATTGACTCGTTCGGTATCGGTACCCACCTGGTGACATGTCAACGTCAGCCAGCCCTCGGCTGTGTGTTTAAGGTCAGGCACACTTCTTTATTCCACAGTCTTTATCTTTTTGGCAATGCCTCAGGGGTGGAGCCATTTAAAGGCATCCAATGCGATTTCAGAGCAGCAAAGCTGGAAATATTCTGAATAAAGACATCTTTATGATATTGACACATACTGCTTCAAATTAGCACATTTCAATCATTATTTTATACTTTGGGTACTTAAAACTGGAGAAACAAGCCCCAAGATGAGTCCTTTTTTATGGGTGGTACCCTAAAATCAGCCAAGGGCCCTTCCAGTGACCATTTTCCTTCAGAATTTTTGGAATTTTTGCTCCATGAGGGTCAATATACATTGGAATAGTGTGGTTTTAACTCGGTATGTAGATAAATGACTAGAACATTGACTGAAAAATCATGTTCCCAAGCCCTAAAAACTGCACTGGATGCCTTTGAAGGTAGTATTTTTATCAAGTTGTAGATGCATTTCATATATGTTGTGTTATGTATAGTGATGTGCATTAATTCTGATATTGAGTTATTATTGTTTCCCCTTGCCTGAATACCTGCTTCTATGCTTCTTTGCTGTACTTTGAGGTTCCTGTAGCTTTGAAAATATTGCCTTTTCAGGGCTCGAAATACTCTTCTTAATACCTGCGGGCTACATTGAAAATAACATACACCAAACAAATTTTACCTGCACCACTCAGATTTTGAGAAGTATGGATCATACTAAAAACTGTCCCAAAATTATTGACCATCATTTCTTTTATACTTCATAGGCTGTAACAGTGGATGCAGCAAATAAAAATCCATACATATATTTCAGTAAAGCTAGTATATGGACCAGTGCTAGGTAGACATCAGAAATACCAATTTTACCTGCACTAAAGTGCATATACACCCAGTATTTTAAGCCCTGCCTATATTTCAAATGCTATAGGTATCTCTACTTTTCTTTTTACTACTCTTCTTTTTTTTTTCTTCCCCTAACACTGGAATTCTTCCAGAGTGTCAAAGACGGACGATGCAGAATTTTTGCCCATTTGCAGGCTGAAATTCTGCGTAGTCTGTCGCTAACATTGCTGCGCAACTTTCCCACCAACTGTTGTTTCCTGTTTTGTTGTTTGTTTGTTTGTTTGTTTGTTTGTTTGTATCTGTTGTTTGGTAGGAGTCTGAATCCCCCACTCTCTACTGGATCTTTCAGGTATCACTCAACTTTCTTTACAACTGTTTGGTATTTGGTATTTTATATCATACCCGGG